CGTTTTGGGGTTGTTTTGGGGTCGTTTTCCCCCCCAAATTCCCCCAAATCCCCCCAATTCCCCCGCATGGCCTCAGGATTTGTGGGACGCCCCCCCCCGTGGCCCCCCCGCAGTGACCCCATGCCAGAGAGACCCCCCCAAACCATGGGCTGCCCCTCCCCCCGTGGGACAGACCCCTGAGCGGGGGGGACACGACCCCAAAATGGGGGTTTGGGGCATTAAAGGCAGTTTTGGGTCAATAAAGGGCAGTTTTGGGTCAATAAGGGGCAGTTTTGGGGTAATAAAGGGCAGTTTTGGGTCAATAAAGGGCAGTTTTGGGTCAATAAGGGGCAGTTTTGGGTCAATAAAGGGCAGTTTTGGGTCAATAAAGGGCAGTTTTGGGACATTAAAGGCAGTTTTAGGGGGGTTTGGGGGGTTTGGGGCAGTTTCAGGTCATTTATTGGTTGGGTTTGGGTTTGTTTTCGGTCGATTTTTTGTTAGTTATTGATCCAAATTGGGTCACTCAGTTGGTCACTCAGTGGTCAGTTGGTCACTCAGTGGTCACTCAGTGGTCAGTTGGTAACTCAGTGGTCACTCTGACCCCCAGGAGTGGAAGCTGGACACTCTGTGTGACCTGGGGTCAGTTATTGATCAGTTATTGATCCGTTATCGGTCAGTGGTCACTCAGTGGCCAGTTGGTCACTCCGTGGTCACTCTGTGGTCACTCAGGAGTGGAAGCTGGACACGCTGTGTGACCTGTACGAGACGCTGACCATCACCCAGGCCGTCATCTTCATCAACACGCGGCGCAAGGTGGACTGGCTGACGGAGAAGATGCACGCGCGGGACTTCACCGTGTCCGCCATGGTGGGGGAGGGGCCGGGGGTGGGGGAGGGGCCTGTGGGGGGAGGGGCTCAGCCCTGAGCTGTCCCTTCCCCCCCCCCAGCACGGGGACATGGACCAGAAGGAGCGTGACGTCATCATGAGGGAATTCCGGTCGGGATCCAGCCGGGTCCTCATCACCACCGACCTCCTGGTGAGCCCCTCCCCCACCCTCACGGCCCCTCCCCCACCCTCACAGCACCCCCCCCGAGCCCCTCCCCCACCCACAGAGCCCCTCCCCCCGCCCTTGGCACCCCTCCTCCACCCCTTAAAACTCCTCTTTTTTTCCCCTTAAACCCCAAATTTGACCCTTGACCTTGGGGGTCTCCCCTTCTATGACCCCCTCGAGCCCCTCCCCCACCCCGCTGACCCCTCCCCTCCCCCCCCCAGGCCCGGGGCATCGATGTCCAGCAGGTTTCCTTGGTCATCAACTACGACCTCCCGACCAACCGTGAGAACTACATCCACAGGTGGGGGCGGGGCTAAAGGAGGGTGGGGCTAATGAAGAGGAGGAGGGGCTAACAGAGAGGGGAGGGGCTAATGGAAAGAGGGCGGGGCTAACGGAGGGAGGGCGGGGCATAGAACCCCCTTTTTAACCCGTTTTTCTCCCAGAATCCCAAATTTTCCCCCTTAACCCACCCCCCATTTCCCCTAAAACCTTTAAGGCATTTTAGGGGGAGGGGCTTAAATGAGTGGGAGGGGCCAAATGTGATGGGGCGGGGCTTAAACACAGGGGGCGGGGCTTTTTTTTACCTATGAAAAAAATGGCAAAAAAAA